TTAAAGACTTTGGTATGTCTCGGCCAGGGGACAGAACCCAAAGCCTTCCTCACAGGGGCGAACGCTCAACAAATGGCCAAAAGTGAGGCATTGTCAAGGGAGACATTAGGAAGAAGAAAGTTATTTAGAAAGGAGAGAAGAGATAAGGTCCCAAATTTAGTCGCCTCTTACGATCATGCAATTGGGGGCAGCAGGTACAATTCTTACGCCCTACCTGCAGGGACTACATTGCTTTACTAGATACCTCCTAAGAAAGTAATTAATGAATACATGTTGAGACATTGCTTTACTAGATACCTCCTGTGAAAGTAATTAATATTGACTGAAAACATGTTGAGACATTGCTTTACTAGATATGTAGAGGTTCGACTAAGAGTGACCAATGATTTATCAAATTTTTCAAACTTAAGTAGATTAATTTTCAAATAAAATTACAGCAAACTTTAGCAAGCTGTTTTTCTGTCTTTTAAAAATATGAAAAAAAATACTAACATTTATTACATAGCAAAAGTTGATAAAATGATAAACAAAATTAAAGGCGAACATTCAATTCAAAATGGAAGCTCAATATGCATACCAGGTCACAAGATTTTACAATGTCTATGAAAGACAAATATATTCCAAATTTGACACATTTTAAATTTGATTAACAGAAGTTAGTATTTAACCTGGAACATTATAAAACCAGACAACTAGTTACACATATGTGTGTACCTATGCTTAGCCCAATGAAGATTCCAAATGGAGCAAGTGTCCATACGAGTCCTCCAGTCGCTATTGATTCCGCTGTTCCATTTATGTAGCCTCCTCCCACGGTAGTAGCTGTGGTAAATAAAATAATAATTGTATAAAGGTATACAATTAATGATACTGAAGTAACAATGGATGATAGTCTATTTCAGCATCGAAATGCTTTCAGTTGTCATTCATAGGCAATATGCATGCAATAGGTCATGCATGGCATATTTATTAATGCTCCTTATTTGTGATTTTATCTCTAAATTTGGGTTAATTGACCCCTAAGTTACCATTTGTCGGTAATTATACAGGTCATGATGATGAAAATGCAGGAGATTTGAATGAACAGTAACATGTGGGTTACAACACCCAAACACAGGTTGACCCACACAATTTCTGGCAATTTGAATTGGCAGGCCTGATTTAATAATTAAAAAATTTAACATTGAAATAGCAATAAACTAACTACATTAACAAAAAAATGTTATAATGAATATTTCATAACTGACATAACCAATCCAAGTTTCGAATGCTTATTTTGCACAGATTTTGCTCAAATTTGAACATTGTACAAAGTTACACATTGGCATTAAAATTGAAAAATATGTAGGCCAGTTATTTTGTGGTAATGAAAAATTGGTCAAGATGGATTGATGACCAGCATCGTAATTACAAATAGGAGACTGGTTGTCCTCATCATACATGTATACAGTAAAAACTCGTTATAATGCCCCACGTTTAATTTGTTACCTTGTTTACCGCAAACATATTTCAATGTCCCTTTTTCTCATATTTTTAAGAAATCCTTAAATACATTTCCCAAACTTTTTTGCCATATTTTCTTTAAAATACGAAAAATCGGAAAAATGGTGGCAGTATAATGAGGTTTTTCATTTGTATCTAAATACAATTATCTATTCAAATTAACACCTTTCATAACATTATTTGATTTGCATGATACACAAGAAAATTAACAGAATTTTATAACTGTATTTATAAATGTACCTGTCATTGTAAATACTCCGACCACAGCTCCAATACGGCGTCCCGCAACTATGGAGGTTTCAAGAGTATCAGGTCCCCCATTCCTCCACTTCTTCCTTTTGGCAGCATAAATTCCGACCAGAAATATAATCACATAGAAGATGAGGAGAACCACCAACCCTGGGACGTTCAACGACATACTCAACGCAGTAATAACAACCTGCAAAAACGCAAAATGAAAAATCTAAAATTATATCATGAATAATTAAGGTTGGTGCAGTTTTTATGCATTATGTGCTCCAGATATGAACTTAATTTCTATGCTGTTAACCACGTCCTTTACTTAAATAGAATGAATTAAAATTCTTTCCCGTGCTTTAAATAAATGCAGTTTTATTCTTTTCTATTTTTTCCCCCTGCACAATGCTACGATATATATCATGATTAACTGTACAAATTCATATTCAGACTTCCAGCCCGCAGTTTGATTTTGAAAACTTAACTAACCCAGCCTATATTTTTATATATAGTAGCTATATATAGCGCTTTCACATATATAACGGAACAAGGGTATATCGCAACACACAGCTAGATCGCATAGCATACATATCATACAGTGCTGAAATATCATTATTTATTGAAACATATTTCAAAAGCTTTTTTCATGTATTTACTTGGTGTTTTTAACTTTCATCCTAAAAGATATGCCAATAACCATTAACTAGCTGGCTATTACTAGAGGAGGAACTCAGTTCGTAATTGATAGCTGGTTTAACAAGATTCTTAAATCTGTGTGATCCATATTATATTATGAGTTTGATAGCATTTTGACAAGTTTTTTTTTAAAATTCAGATAAACATTTTATAACAAGAAACTCCCAATGGCAATATGGCTGGATTGCTTCAGTTCATTTCCATGTAAAGCATCTGATGTGATCAGCATCCTTAAAGATCAATACATAATCCATGCAAGTTTATAATTAGTTGATGTAGGACAAGTAGTAACTTGTTAATTAACCTCAACCAATCTTCTTAACCTGGTCACTGAAGCAAAAAATGTAGGTCACAACTAGCATTCAAAGCGTCGCATGTGATAAGCATCCTTAGATACATAAGCCATGCAAATTGAGTTGATGTACAACAAGTAGTTACTTAGTAACTGACCTTAACCAAACTTCTTAACCTGGTCACTGAAGCAAAAAATGTAGGTCACAACTAGCATTCAAAGCGTCACATGTGATAAGCATCCTTAGATACATAAGCCATGCAAATTGAGTTGATGTACAACAAGTAGTTACTTAGTAACTGACCTTAACCAAACTTCTTAACCTGGTCACTGAAGCGGAAAATATAGGTCAGAACCAGCATCCGAAGCATCGCATGTAATAAGCATCCTTAGATACATAAGCCATGCAAGTTTAGTTGATGTAGGACAAGTAGTTACTTGGTAAGTGACCTAAACCAATCTTCTTAACCATATAGTGCAGATGGGGCCTGACCTCGAGCTCAACCAATCTTCTTAACCTGGTCAGGTGTAGGTCAGAAACAGCATCCGAAACATCCCATGTGATTAGCATCCTTAGATGCATAAGCCATGCAAGTTTAGTTGATGTTGGATAATTGATAACTTAGAAACTGAACTTGAATTAACCATTCTTCTTAACCATAGTGCAGGCAGACAGACCGGAATCATCTATTTAAGTCCTGATTGCGTTGCAATCCGGCCAAAAATGAACTATAGCCTATAATGATTTACATTGATATGTACCTCATTGTAATATTTATGGGATGGAAATGAAAGAACAATGTCCTTTTAATTCCTAATGTTCAAAAGAATGTTGTGCCTGTATTTCACTTCATAAATAATTTCAGTACCAATAATAAAATTGTTTAGGTAAGCAGTATGCGCGTAACTGTTACTCAAATTAATATAGGATTATAATTATTACCCATATGAGAGTATGTGCCAAACCTATATACTACATCCACTACGGATAGAAACCCACGGATGACCCGGTCTATATATATACATATAGTCTATATCCATTTTCCGCTACGTACTGTATGCACCACAGTTAAACTACGGATAGATCTAGAGACTAGTTGACAACGAGGAGTGATATGGATTGCTACGGTTTGGCACAGTTTAGTTCAGAATGACACCTGTTACATATATACTATGCACTACAAATTAACACTGGTTCGCTATGATTTTAGTACGGGTTAGCATATATATGATTAAAACGATCTGGCACAGATTAGTACAAACCATAACGATCGAAGCCCAATGTACAGTACCTACCCCGCTAGCAATCTGTATACAATCTCCTGCACTTGCATGTTTTCATTCCACAACTTAGTTTTAGTTTGGATTAGTACAAGTATGTTGTTAACTGCAACTAACCGTACAGATCCTTAGGGACTTGAGGCCTGGGATGTTCTACGAATAAGTACGGGTAATTACGGTTTATTACAGACTACAACGGATTATGTTCTACTGATCCGTGGTGAATTTCAAAAATTATCACGGATATACAAGTACTACTACGATTAACACAGGATACAATACACACAGCTACAGACCACTACAGATTGCCACGAATGATGCAGGATAGTATCTGTGGCTAATCAGTGGGGTCCGATCCGTGAATGTGTGACCGTTGCATTACAAGTGTCAGCTGTAGGGAATTTCAATCTGGAGAGCCAAGGGTCATGGCTTTGAGTCCCAGCGAAGGCACTCTCTCTTTTTTTTGGGGGGGGGGGGGGGGGGCCCCCCCCCCCCCGGGGCATCCGATGCGATTTTTTTTTTTTTTTTTTTCCCCAAAGAGATCATATGCATACGATATATCGGATTACAGACAATACCATTTTTAGTTGGTTAGTGTTTTTATAATGACATAAACATCAAAACATGCAAGCGATCACCACAGATATGTGGACAAATCGTCTAGGTTCATTCTGTACCCGAGTTCCATGTCATACAATAGTTTTATTATAAAACTCACGACATGTTGGCAGAATCTAGTTTTCCCTTCCTTCAACAACCAATACTATGCATTGTCATCTATCAATGTTAAATTATTGGTTCATCTGCTCATCATCTCAACATGCAACACGTTTTCAAAACCAAACGTCTAAGAGAGCTTGAGTATGTTAGAAACTAAATGGGAAGAGTAATATTTTCCGGATAATTTGTTTCTTAGTATTTCTCCTTTCCTTTTCCAATTTGGCAGAATTGCTCAGACATTTTTGAAATTTTCTTTCAGTTTACAAAGTTTGCAAAAAAATAAATAAAAAATAATCAGAGATCACCTCGAATGTTACACGAAAGGTTATTTCCGGATATTTTATAATGATGGTTCACTATATTGTATATTAGAATCAAGAGCTCATTTCCGGATTGGACGCCTAAGGGAAAAGAAACTGACAAAGAATTAAAGCAGGATTATAGTTCTTGCAGAGAGAAGAATTTCTACACAATATGTAGGTATTATTCGTCAGTTATTAAGAATTATATTTACGTAATGTTGTTGATGTTGGAATGGCATACATGTACGCAATGTGTAGAAAACTTCACACATTCATCAACATCTATGATCTAGACTGTTTATAATTTGCAAGTTACTGATTCAACAAGACCCCTGAATGATAAGGCATTAAGGCTGATGTCTTCATAAAAAATCTCACATGATATATATAACATGTCTATCTCTTTCAAGATACTTGTTGAACCTTAACCGCCTTAGTACGTTATGGTTCAGAAAGGGAAGCATATTTCGGAATGTTTATTGTTCGGCGACTTCTAATTAGATCTAGATCAGGGGGCCCGGGGACTGTTTTAGTAGAGAGATGTCAAGTTTCCTCTGACCCTAACACCAGACTTTAGACATTTTGACAGATCATATATGTTTAGTGTGGGGCAAGAGCACACTTCTATATGAAACCATGGAATTTATCTGACTCCATTTGGTATCGGAGAGTAATTATGAAGTGCTGACATCAACATAAATCATTGGAGTGTATACGTCTTATCTAGAAGATTTCCAGACCACCTCTTTTTGTTGATTATATTTTTAATCACTCTATTTTTTTTTACATAACCTACAAAATGTCATCGCTCAGTTTGGAAGTTTTGTGTAATAGGACGAGGAAAAGTGATAAAGATAGTGCTGGCACCGGGGCTCGAACCCGCGACCCTTGGCTCTCCAGCCCGATGCTCTACCGCTGAGCTAAAGGGAAATTCCCTACAGCTGACGCTTGTAAGGCAACCTAATTAATCCACATCTTTTACATTTGTACAATAGAAACCCAAGGACTCTACTGATGAAATATAGCATGTGTTGTAGCCCGAATTATTCTTACGTTTTATCGACTTTTTTCATATCAGTCTGTCGTTGATTAACGTCAGTACTCCGGCCCTCTATGATATGCGGGAAATAAGCGACCCGCGCCTGGGTCGCTCTTCAAACTGATATTTTAGAAACAAATTGTCACTTTTCACACACATGTTGCGCATGGATAGAAAGATGACTTGACATAATGTATAATATTCCCGAGTTCAGTAAAATGGTATGATTTCATTATATTGCTGAAGTAAACATTTTTTTTTATTTACATGCAAGATTTAAATATGTCAAAATGATGGTTCGGGATGAATAACTGAGATAGGAGAACCTACTTACAGTTAATTTATATTATATAATGCATGGTATAGAAAAAAAAGTGGCCAAAGACATTGAGTTGTACAATGTAAAAAATAATTCACGAACGTTTTTCTTTTTTATACTTGTCAATGCATATACACTTTATGAAAACAATTGAAAAGGGATATTCATCTCCTGAATATTCCTTTTTACAGAAAGGTTTGTCCCTTGGTTGAGGGAAGGTTTAGCCCCGTTCCATTTGTACCGGTCACATTCTGGTAATAGATATTTCCTGGTGTCTATATAAATAATGCTGAGTTGCCAACAAATATTTCTTCATGGAAATTCTGAATATTGGCATGTGTGCAATTATCTTCTGATGATGAATAATAACTGATACAATAAGTTTCAACACAGACTTAGAAATCATATTACTTGGTTTCATAGTGCGGTAAGAAGTTGAGTTGCCAGACGTTGACTGCTTGTTTCAAAACCGCCAGGCACTATTTTTAACAGGGTTTTCCCAAACAATTCAAGTGGTCAAACTGCGTTTGGAACAGACTATCACTATTGGGATAGCAAGGTAACACAAGTGGAAGTGCATACCACACATGCATCCTTTTTTTTTTGGAAATTATGCATAAATATCAAATAGCTTCAATTGGGAGTGGGGCCCCATTACTGGGCCAAAAAATCCCCAGAAAAAAACACTGGAAGATCACATAAAATAAAGTGATATTGATAACAGAGGCTGCATTACATAGATAAAGCAGGAAAGACAGTGATTTAAAAAGACCTGATTTATGTCAACCCAAAAATATCAGCAAATGTGACACCCAGTAGAAAATATTGTTTAGGCCAAACAAAATATATTAAGTGTTTCCGGTAACCCTTAAGCTACCTACCATAGTTTCTAGTGCCTACCCGAAACTTTTGAAGTTAATTTTCAAAGAAGCACTGTTAAAGTCAAGATCAACCTCCTAGGCTATATAAACCATAAAAAATTGTTTGTTGAAATTAAATTTGTTAACAATCTTCTCCTCAAGTTCCATAAGACCCAGGGTCATGATATTTGGCCAGAAGGTACCTGGGATGAAGTGCTATAACAATATTCATTAAAATGACATTGACCTAATTTCAAGGTCACAGGGGTCAAACTTCAAACAACAATATCCTAAGAACCATTCGGACTAGAGACATAATACTTAGGTATGTTATGTAGACTAGCAGTACAACTTTAAAGTGCTAGTTGGGGGTCAAAGGTCAACATGGGTTAAAAGCTTTAACAAGTTTCTCAAGTTCCATAATACCCAGGGTCAGGCTATTTGGCCAGTATGTACCTGGGATGGAGTGCTATACAGTTTACGCATGATACATGGGTATTTTATGTACAGACCAACTGTGTGAATCGCAATTCACATACATAGGTCTGTGAATAATGAAATCATAATTAGTAGTACATGACCTGTTAAAAGGGTTTCCCTAGTGAGAGTAGATCCTGGATTTTACTTTTATTTAACCCTTTATTTTCACCCCTAGGTAACTTGTGTAGACTCTACCATACATTTATCTGGATGAGTTCATGATGGTCTGCGGTGGTGAAAGGGTTAATATATTGAAATCTTTGACAATATATATACACAGTGATTTTCATTTCTCAGTTTTACAGCCGAATACAGGGTGTTTCCCTTAGCTAGAAAAAGTTTTGTTTCCCCAAAAGGACAAAAAATATAGGAATATATGTATATAATATACTATATAAGACAGCTTTTTATCAACATGTATCATCAGCCCAAGGGGTCTTTTAAAAAAAAATATATATAAATTAAAAGCCTGCATATAATATCCAGCATATTAAAACTTCATAACTAGACAATAATGAATATTAATGAGCATGACGATCACCAGTCATAGCAAGTACATGTATTACATATAATTACATTTCTCTTCTCATATTAGCCTGGACTGATCTATTTTGTAGTAATTATCATTTACACAAAGGCCATTATCTGTAAATTCTGCATAACACTAGCTAATAACACTAGACATTAAATCTAAAATTTGTCAGCCTTTTGTCAGCATAATTTGGAAGGCAGAACACATATTCTGTTGTTAAATATTCGACAGTGTCCTAAAGTGAAACGGAAAGTTCTTGACTTGCCACAAACATGCAATACATACCTTGTGGCATTAGGATACTCCAGTTTGAATCAGATATGGAAGTTTCTACATTATTTTAAAAAAAAACAATACAGTAACTCATCTTAACCTCAATTTATGGCAGAGTTTATTTAAGTTACATAGGGTGAAAGGGTTAATAATTTTTCTCCTGTGACATGGTTTGGTTTGATGTCAGGTTTATGCATACACATATATATGAACATACATGTATATATTTGCTGGTTTAATTTAAAGGGAAATAACTCTACTCCGGATTTATCTGACTTTGTGCCAGGAAGAACAAAAGTATATATGTTTTCTAATGAAAGAAAACACCTGCTGGTAGAGAATAATTTTACAGTCACGATAATTAAAAGCCAAAAGAAACGTAATGATAGAGATGACTACAACTCTGGTTCTGTTTCCACATTTATCACAGTTTGATACAATTTTACTGGGATCTAATATAAATCCTAGTTAGATCCAGATGGGATATGAAAACCTGCCCAGTTTCCTGGTTTGATACATAGAACTTTGGATTGTAACTTGATCTCAAAATCTTGATGGGTTTCCACGAAGATCTAGGTAGTATTAGGATTACATAAAATAACTAGTAATGTTATGGTGTATTATGAACTTGGAAGATATCCCATGAAAATAGTTAGAAAATTTCGAATACTCAAATATTGGATAAAACTGAGAAATGTATCGTATTCTAAGGTCATGCTATGATGATAAGCTTTGTAATAATGACATTTGGTTAATGAGTGTAAAACAAGAATTATACAGAATTGGTCTTGGAAATGTGTGGGAATCCTCCAGTTTAAATAAAAGCACTTTTCATATTATAAAAGAACGTCTTTGTGACATATTCAGACAAGAATGTTTTGAAAAAAATCAATCTTCTCCTAAAGAAGCATTGTATCAATATGTGTGTGATTTTGGTCACCAGTATTATTTATCAAAACCTGTAAATATAAATTATTTAAAACAAATATGTAAAATTTGAATGTTTGCACATAAGTTAAATATTGAGTGTGGCAGATATAATAGAACTGAAAGACAAAACAGATTGTGTTCAGTATGTGACCTGAATGATGTTGAGGATGAGTTTTATTTTATTTTAAAATGGCCTTGCTATATTGATATAAGGTTGAAACTAATTAAGAAATATTATGTAAGACATACAAGCATGTATAAATTAATTCAACGGCTTACTTGTGAGAATGTATCCGACATTAGAAATCTTTAATACAAGCAAACAAAAGGAGATCTGAGCTGATTGCTGGTTAGTGTTCACTCTCCACGGTGTGTGTGTAGGTGTGTGTGTATCATATTGTATGTTGTCTCTGTATTGTTTTGTATATAAAATGTATGTTATAACTGATAAGTCTACCGACTTAAAGTAATAAAAAACTTGAACTAGGTCATTTTCTTTAGTATGTAACATTTCTTTCTCTGTTTCAGGTGAACAAAACTGATGCTCACTTCAGATAAGATTCAGGAAGACATATGGACAGCCTGGAAACAAATGTGGGAAAAAATGGAAGATTATGACGGAAGACATGTAGGATCCCATAGCAGAGTCAGCACTCTGCCTCATGGCCAGTGGATGTGATGGATCTGAACATATAAAAATGCATAAAGATAAAGAGAAGAAAAAGACGGTTTACCTTTACCTTTCTTATTGATCATTATAGTGTTGAACAAACAATAACCTAAGACAAATAAACACGGAAACTTTTCCTGTCTGTTGTAAGGATTTGAATTGTCAGTAACCATGGATAAAGAAGAAATGGAAGCCTATCTTGACTTTTCTTTAATGGCAGAAAGAAATCAAAAACAACCTATGAACTTGAATCAGATTGATAAAAATGCTGACGACAATAATCTGAAACAGAATTGGAGTGAAATAAGTGAACTCAGTGGTAGTGTTGCAACAACCCGAGGTCTTGATTTAACAAGTGAATATCTCCTCACAAAATCTGCCTCGAATGTTCAATACACATCCGAACATTTTCTTTTGGCTTCGGAAGGGCAGGGAAATGAAGAAACAAAGGGAAGTAATTCAGGCATTACAAAAATGGAAATTGGAAGCCTCTTTCAACAGGTCAACCAAGAAAAACCTTTAAAGGATGGTGAAATTTTATCAAAAGCTGTTGACAGTTCTCCAGTATTCAGCAGACAGGAAGAAAATGTGGACGATAGAAATGTAAATCATAGTCCTTGGAGCTATAATGATGAAATTGTGGTGTTGAATCTTTCAAGGGGAGAAAAAACTAACCCAACCACAAGCTCTGCAGACAACATTGTTGTTCAGTTTGAAAGTGATCTTCAATCAAAAACAGAAATGCATCTGAACTTTATACAAAGGGAACAGAATAACTTTAACTCATCATTCCTGTGTGATCAGAAAAATCAAAAATCTGAAAGTGACACAAAACCACCAATTTCACAAAAAAAAATATTAGGGGATTTAGAGCAAGGCAAGGGAGATAATCAGACATGTGAAGGCATTGACAATGTTGAAGGGCCTTCATGTTCCAATATGTTAGACCAGGGAAAGGGATGTGACTCTGATCAACATTGTGAAATAATACAGAACAAAGCTGCTTCAGAGATAAAATTTCATGCTGATGATGTGGCTGTTGAACGAAGCATTTACGTCTCAAAGGAAAGTACAGTGGCGATGAATGGGAATGACCTTTCAAGGCCTCAGTTTGACCTTTCCAATGACCTTTCCAGGGCACAGCTTGTAACATCAGAGAGAGACTACCCCGTAAAGACACCGATTAAAGTCAAGTCTCCAATCAAAATGACATTTAAGAAAAGGAAATACAAAGTAGAAAACATGTGTAAAGGAGAAAACAAAGCAGATACATTAGTTCAAGACAACAAGAAATTTTGTCACGAAAAATTGATAGAAACATCCACAAGTAACGACAGTGATTACGATGTTGATCATGATGGTCTTGTCGAAGAGAATGTTCCATTGGACTACTCAATGCATGCTACACTTGTCCGTCAAAACTTGTCAAAGAGTGGCACAACAGATCAGGCTTCTACAAAACAGCTCAGTGACACTGATGCCAATACAAGTGATCAGGATCAGGAAAGCTTTTGCAGTTCATTGAAACTGGTATCTGTCAGCGAAGTGGAACAAAAAAAATCTTCTGGAAGCCGATTAAAATCAGAAAATGAAAGTAGTACGGAAGACGAAATAGTAGAATCTGATTCCAAGGAAGAGGAAACCGATCAGAAGGGAATAGGACAGGTGGACAACTTTGTGTTAGAAAGGTTAATAAAAAATTGTCAGGAAAAGAAAAAATCGAAAGTGAAAACAACTGGAAACAGTAATTCAAAAGTTAAGGTCTTTAACTGTGATACATGTTCAAAGACATTCACCAGAAAGTCAACATGGCGACACCATGTGAAAATTCATGTAGACGACAAGTTTAAGGAATGTAAAGTTTGCGGTAAAAAACTAAAATTTTCCGGCAATATGTTATCTCACTTGAAAACTCACACTGGTGACAGACCTTTCAAATGTGAATTTTGTGAAAAAACTTTCACCCGTGCTGCCAGCCTGTACACCCACGTGCGTTCTCACACGGGGGAGAAAGCTTTCTTGTGCGAAATTTGTGGGAAAGGCTTTGCAGACAAGAGCCATTACCGCAGACATTTAAGGATTCATTCCGGCATCAAACCATTTAAATGTGACGTTTGTGAAATGGCTTTCACTCAGAGCTGGAGTTTAAAGTCGCATATGCTCTGCCATGCTGAAGAGAAACCACACATCTGTTCCTTCTGTGGTAAAGGCTACACACAAAAGGCATACCTGGAAAGTCACGTCCGTTCACACACTGGTGAGAGACCCTACAGCTGCGAAACATGTGGGAAAAGTTTCAGCGACAGTAGTTGCATGAGGCGTCATGCCAAATCGCACCTCGGTGAACGATCGTTTGTATGTGAACTGTGTGGCAAGGCGTTCGGACGGGGTTGGAATCTGACCGTTCACATGAGAATTCACTACGATGATAAAAGATATGAGTGTTATATTTGTGGTAAAGCATTTGTACAGAAGATCAATCTTGATAAACATATTCTTACTCATCCTGTTGAACCATGTGATTGAATGATTTAAGCATACTGTACACTAACATTTATTTGTGTGTGATTTATTTTCACAGTAGATAGACCATATTTTCTTAAAAAGTGCAAGTGACTGATTCATGGTATGTTTTCTCTGGTCTTAAATTTGATTACTTGAATGGAATTGGAATAGTCCATTATGAAATGGCAGAGGTGAATGAGTTAAAGGGAAATAACTCTGCTAAGTTCTTTTAAAGTTTATTGTATGTACTCCAGGTTTATCAGACTTTGTGTCAGGAATAGCGAAAGTAGATAGACCATATTTTCTGAAAAAGAGCAAATTAATCATGCGTTTACATGTATCATAGTATGTTTTAATTTCTTTGGTCTTAAATTTGATTACATGAATGGGTTTGATATCAATTACTGCAAAAATAAATACAACAATACATTTATTAACGATGTGAATATGAACCTGTGACCTGAGGCTAGAATACTCGACAGCGTAAGCTTCATCTTTGATATTTACACATGACATATCTGTGTATCCTTTTTAAAAGTTGAGATATTGAATTTAAAAGATGAATTATATATAAATGGGTCTGTACATATTGCATTTATCCAGCAATACGCCCATGCTTGTTAATAAGCGCACTGATATCTATTGCAGTTCAATAACAATGCTAACAAGTGCTATTCATGGTCCTATAATCAGCCATCATAGATACTCAAGGGGTTATATATATATGGTCACTTTTGCTCTCTGCACCACCAGAAGATGTTGCAGCGTAATTGAATTGCACACAACTAGTTATTTTTATTAGCTCACCTCGTCTGTCGCCAGTCAACTTTTTTCTTTAAAACACTACTAGTCCTTATAATTAACGGCTTAGAGGATTTTGACCAAAATTGGTCTGGAGCATCATCAGCCAAAGGGTTCTCAGTTTTGTATAAACAGATCCCGGAGGGTATGGTTCCCCTGGGGGCAGAGGGGAGGGCCCTGGCAGATAGGGGGAAAATTGGTAAATCTTCTTCTAAACCAATAGAAGGATTTTGACCAAAAATGTTCTAGAGCATCTTTGGACAAAGAAGCCTCAAGTTTGCCCAATAGAGGAAATAGCTCAGGATGTTTTTTCTCCTATTATACAAGATAAGGGATTTAAACCAAATGCAGTCTGAAGCATGCTTATATATAATTACGCACAACAGAATCAATTTTGTATAAACTGAGGTGTGTGGGCCCCTTTCCATTAGAAGAAATAGAGGAAAACATTAAATATCCCTATTCTCCTTCTGTACAGTTGAAGGGATTTTAACCAAACTTGTTCTAGAGAATCTTTGGTAAAAGGGAATTTAATATTTATAAATGGAAGATATGCAACTTTGTTTCTTGTACTCCTTTGACAAACTTCAGTCCTGTATGGTACTTAGCAGGTTTTAAATTGAAAATTAAAATACCAGGTGAGCTATTAAGGCCCCTGGGCCTCTTGTTAGTTTCCTGGTCTAATATTCAACAAGGCGGCGCACACTGAGCCTTTGAATTTGTCATGACATGTTCCAGGGGTGCAGAGAGTGAAAGTGAGCGTATCAGTCCAACTTCCTATTTTGAGTAAGAGATCGTGTGTTTTGTCCCGATCCAAGGCTTATTTGAGGATAAATATGGAAGTTTGTTTTAATCATTAAAAAGATCAATTGAATGCGTATTTGATAGCTTTTTTGACCTGATACCAAAGTAATCGAGTGTCTTGCAAATAACAACTGAAACACAATTGATCAAATTATTCATGCAATTAAATTCTTTTTAAATAACATTTTGAAGTGCATCATCATCCAAAATGACAATCTTCATAAAAAGTAACAGTTGTTCTAAAAACTGTTTATTTGTTGTCTCCATTAATTTACAACATGAGCTTAATGACTGGCTTATTATACTTATGCTTCACCAATTGATTAGGTGAGAAACATACTAGCTTTATTAATTCCTAGTCAATAGCAATGTAAATAGTTTCAGCATCAATGTGTTTTAAACTCTTAATTATATTTATATTAACTTTATTTTTATTCACGTTGATCTGGATTTCTTTAAGTTTCTTTTAACCTTAGATCACAGATATTAACAAAATGCATACTGGTTACCATCTAACCTATCCTGGCCAGTTCCATAAAAAATACATTACACACTGTTCTTGAGAGGATTGAAGTAATTCTATTTACAGGGATCAATCTAGATTTGATTCACTACCGTTTATGGGTAGTTTCCCCTACAGAAGAAAATTCCCGTTCTTTGAAATTCCCTCTGTGTGCTTCAAAATTCCCCCATTTCAACAAGAAAAAAGCTGGTTTTTATTCAAAATATTTACCCTATATAAGTTTTCTTTAAAGTTCAACAGTTAAAATGCATACTGCTGCATATATGCATTTTCTCCACATAATTCAAACAAAAGTTCTACAATTTTTAGCTTAAAAAATGTTTAAAAATTAAAATATACTGCACACATGTATGTCGGACAAAACATTATATTTTACCTTTATGAGCTAGAGCCTTGTATCAAAATTTTAATTTCCCCAAAATCTGAAAAAATGGTAATTTCCCCTAAAACCTAGATTGATCCCTGCTTTAGCTATCACAGTTGCTGCAGGAGTATTATTTAGGAATGCATATATCTGATAATTATATATGTCACTGTAACACAAGGCTTTCTGTTACTTTTGTTACCAATGCTTCGTTTCTCTAATAAGAACCCCTCCCACTCTTACAGACACTTTTTCAAATGCCTTGGGTGCTAAATTGGTTTTAAGGATCCCTGCCTTGGGTGCTAAATCGGTTTTAAGGATCCCTGCAACATTACCCATAACTGTAACTACACATTAATTGGAAACTGTTGTTTTTCTGGCATGACTTCTATAGCTTTGATTTCTGAAAAGAAAACCACAACTTGCAGGATTTTTATGAAAAACTGATCACGATGATACCAACAGAACATATTTACATTTCCATTGCAAGTTCCTCTAGATCTATAATCATAACCTTAAGAAGTTGTGCTCATAGGCTCATAGGGGTCTGAACACAATTGGATCAGTGTCATTTTGAAGTCTTTCCTCCTGCCTCAACTTACATGAGACAACTGTCAGAAACAAACATTTTGGTGACATTAGGCTTTTCCAGGAATCTTGTTCGCCCTGACAACTCACGCTTCAATATAAAAAGTATAGGGAAATGTATGTATTCAGGTCAGTATGAACTAAAAAAAAATGAATGTAAAAATAAGAATTAAACGGCATTCTTCCAGTGTTCATGCCGGTATAAAATTGAAAACAAATGTCGTTCATTTCTTGTATTATAAACAGCAATGTTCTGAATGTGAAAATTGAATGAGGCTGTTCTATGATTCAAACCCTGGACCTCAATTATTATACTATTGCTCTAACTGACTGAGTTACCTGTTCAACAGATGTGTCCTAGCCAAGCTGTGCTACAATCATATCCTGTGGATTGTGGGACCACCGCAAAAATTGTAACTACACATTGGAAACCATTTTTTCCTGCTATGACTATATCTTTTAAATCATTCGTAAAAAGAAAACTATACCTTGCAGGACTTTTAAGATTAAGAATTGAGATTAAATGTAAAAATACACAAAAAAATACAGTAATCTGAGCGCAAACAAATTTAAAGGGGCAAGACTGGGACTTGAACATTGGACTTCAGATTGCTATATTATCTCTTTAATCGACTGAGCCACCAAGTCAACGTGTACTGGCCCTGCTGTGCTACAGTTATATCTGAAATAAGATAAAAGGAACGATACTGCACATACAAACAAACACAGTACAGTGGGACACTGCAAGGATCCTTAAAAAAAAATTGTGAAAATTATCATGAAAAAATATTTTAATAAATAGAGAATTACACTGTACGTTTGTTCAGGTGTTGTGTATCACATGTTTTAAAGAGCTTTCATATATTTTGTTTCATTTGTTCACTTACAAATTGTAATGAATAACTCGTGATTTCTTAATCGAAATACAACTTTGCAAAATGAAACTAAAGCTAAATATAAATCTTGCTTTTTCGTGTTTGTGTCTTTTCAAGTGTTATTGCAATTGACCTATTTTGAATTTGGTGTAATTTTAAAAAGATTTCATGACCTCACAAGTAACATGTATGATGTATGTTGGTACCAGATGGAATTGTTTGAGCTTATCAAAACTCTGTAGAGTTAGAGTAGGGTCAAGTACTGTAAGTATTTCATTGATACATTTTTTTCTTAATTAATTTCTTGAAAATTGTCAATGTTTGTACAATACGTGTAAAAAGCAGGAAAAAATGGAATTTAATCTTCTGTCTTGGCAAGGTCTATTGTACATTCCGTCTTTGAGTATTGCAGAGTTATCTGCTCTTGTGAGCAGATATTGATTGTTACGTCATTGATTTGTGAGAGTAAGGTCATCAATTTTTGAGAATCGACGTAATTTTCTCACACAAACCAATGACATAACAATCAATACCTGCTCACAAAAGAAGATAACTCTGCAATACTCAAAGACGGAATAGTCAATATGGAAATCTGTTTTGCAGTTGCACAATATTTGGAATAATGGCATTTTCTGGTATTAATTCTAGTTCTTGTGTATAAAGTTGAATACATGTCTTCTTTCTGAACAGCATTAAATGGATTCAATATGTATGTTCCATGTATAATTTATGTCTTATTCTAATTTAAACAATCTGTCTAGACTTGTGTTAAGTGGGTGAAAAATAAAACATTTTGAAACATTATGGTTTTTTTTAAATTGATTCCTTATCAGGAAAATATCAGAAATGCCCAATAGGTTGTTTGTAAAATATCAAATTTGTAAATCAGCTAAATCATACATAATGCTGAAAGGCATGAGGCATTGATTAAAGGATCCTCGTATCACTACCAGAAACTGTAACTACCCATAGTAAACTGCTTTTTTTCAAGCATAGTTGTAGCTTTGATAAATATTTTTTTATAAGAAAACCATACGTTGCGGGACTTTTTTGAAAAAAGATACAGAAAATGTCTTCAACAATAGTGTTCAGAGTGTACAACTTTAGCAGGGTTATACTGGGATTAGAACCCTTGTGGATTACAGGTTGTTGTGCTATCTCTTTGACAGACTGAGAGAGACACCTTGTCAACAAAACTGTCTCGGCCCACCTTTGCTGCAGTTATTCCGTCTTTGCGGATTGCAGAGTTATCTTCTCTTGGGAGCAGGTATTGATTGTTACGTCATTGGTTTGTGTGAGAAAATTACGTCGTTTTCTCGAAAATTGGTGACGTTACTCTCACAAACAAGTGACGTAACAATCAATACCTGCTCCCAAGAGAAAATAACTCTGCAATACGCAAAGACGGAATATCAAGAATGAAATTAAGGGGACTTAACTTTTGTAGTGCAGTGGGACAGGGATCCTTAAGTGCTTGTATGTTATATAGTTACACGTGTGATAGTGTGTTCAATAGTGGAAATATTTAATTAAAAATGTCAGATTTCAGTGGCGAGCAAATTATTATTTGGAGTGTATGCTTACAGAGGGTCGAGCGTCCGAGGCACATAGCGCCGGAGGAGGGCGGTGGGTTTGGGATGGGCACTAGCACTGACAAAGTTCTACTAGGTGCTAGAAACAATCTCCCGCGTTCTGTGAACTCCTTTTAGACTGATTATTAACAAGTATACCCAGACTTTTTATATGAATAGTTTGTTTTGTACTTCACTTACTGTTTTTTATATACTGAAATCTCAATCCTAGTCAATGTCAAGTGACCCCGGAACCAATTTCAATGAAATTTTGCAGGAACCTTCCATGGACAAAGGTCAACAAAAATAGTTGCCGGTTTAGTCCCAAGCCCCCAGGGGCCTAAGGGGCGGGGCCTAAAAGGGTAAAATTGACTAAAATTTCAAAAATCTTCTTCTCAAGACCCAGTTATGGTAGAATCGAACACTCTCCATAGATGGAAGTGTCTTAAGGTTTATGACCCTAGGGTCTCGCGTTTACCCCCTGGGGAAGGAGGGGGGGGGGCAAAATTTATTATGGTTTATAATGGCAAATGATACTTTGAATATTACATGTTAATAACTTGATTGGAATTATAACCTTGAGTTGACAGTGTGATACTTTGAAAATTTTGAGCCAGCCCTACCCCCAAGGGCTGTAGGGTGGGGCCCAAAGGAATCAGTGTGCTAAAATTTCTTCATTTTCCTTGTTTAGAATAAGAAGTGCTAGTTTCAAATTCTTTTTTTTTTTGTCACTTTGAGTTATATTTCTGTTAATGTTAAAAACAAAATCAACTCTCTGTTTAAATATATCAGGTTAATCGACGACAGACCGATATGAAAAAAGTCGATAAAACGTCAGATTAATTCGGACTAGTGACGAGCCTGACCATTGTTTATACCTCGAGAATAAGCTACATGTATTTATTGAAAAGATTTCTTAATAATCGATAGGCATTTGGTAATTTATGAATATGCAATAGGTATGGGGTCATATTTGGCTAGTAGCATCTTGGAATGAAGGGTTAAGTCTGTGAAATAAATAACTTCTCCTGCCTTTAAGGTGAACAACATCTTCTGAAAAGCCTCAAGGCTTAGGGTCATGATGTGTGTGTGGTAGCCTGCTGGAATGAATGACCTCGTCCCGCTGTAAAGGTCGCAGGGTTGACATTTGTTATAGAATTTAAGCGACTTTTTTTCTGAATAATGATTTTGGCTAGTTGAATGTTGGGTTAAATGACTAAAAAGTCTGTTCAAATTTCCAAATAGTCTAAACTACCGTTGAAACAGAGTGACGGTTGCGTAAAAGCATTCGAATCACTTCATCAGAATAACTACGGGGCCAAGTGTGCTGGTATTGGCCTGTGCCCAAAAGGTGTGAAGTGTAGGATCCACGTGAAGACCAAAGTCCACTTTGGTGAAATATGTTTCAGTTCGGAGCAAGGATGTGGTTAAATGGTAAAGCTTTAAAAGCGAGATGCTTTAATTTGTTACGATTGATATTCCTCCGTGGCTTCTGGTTTCGCCTTTCACTTCATGCGACAACTAAATCTGACACCGAATCCTGCGTTTTTCAAAACTGCAGTTAAAATATAAAGACTTTTTGTATTGACGGTTCGAAAAATGATCATAAAGTATTCGCGGCCACGGTGGCGAAAGATGCTACAGTTGGATGCCGGATGCCCAATGATGCGTCAATGTTCTCCGCATAAGCCTATCTCGGCATTGGAGCACATTAAATCAAATGATGTACCACAGTCAGTTATCTATAATGATTGTCTATCTGTTCTACAGAGCCTTCGTAACAAAAATGTGAAGAATTTCTCAATTCAAAAATCTTATTGTTACATAACATTACCTCAAAATGTCCTATTACAAATGTACTGTTTATAATGATAATAACATACAGCATTTGATATAGCGCCCTATCAAGCTAACCTAAGCCACTCTAAAGCGCTTTACAGTACATAGATATACATTTGTTTTTTACAATCAATGCAATTAGCATATACATTACTCCATACAATTTGAGGAATCCGCAGGAGCTGCCTTATCAGGCGCTAACTAAAGATAAGTAGTAATGTCTGCTGGGTTCCCGGACATGTGAGAATACCAGGTGATGAAAAGGCAGATGGTGCTGCGAAATCAGTACCATTACTACCACCTGAAGATTTTAAACTTCATTTAACTGATTTTAAACCGATTATTACAACACCTTTAAGATCACAGGGGCAAAGTAATTGGAATCAATGCGTATATAACAAATTATATTCTATTAAACCTGAAATCAGTAAATAGCATCCTAGCTACAGAGAGAGGCGCCGAGACGAGGCCCGTGTTCGGATGGGTCATTCATACGTATACATTACCCATTGTTATCTATTGAAACGTGAAAACCAACCTCAATGCATAGCGTGACAGGAACCGTTTACAGTAAAACACTTGTTCATAGATTGTGTCGACCTTCAGTCAACTCGAGAACAATTCTATAAAAACATTACGTGTCTTAAATCTCTTTTTTTTTAAATGTCTGCAATTTTAGGCTATATGAAAGCTGTTGGTCTTTTTGATAAAATTTGAGTCATCATAGTCACTTTCAATATTCAAATCGACGTTTGTCTTTTAACCTTTAAGTTTGTTTGATGTCTTTATTTTGCATTTGATTTTATCGACAATTTGTTTGCCCTACTGACCTATCCTGTGTTGATGGGCCGTTAAGCATTTCATATTAATATTAACAGATGCTTTGTCACGCAAGTTCTTGCCATTGGACGAAGTAGTATTGGTCAAATAATCAAAAATGATAATATAGTAAACTTTCATACTTTGAAAGACACACATGTATTTGTACATAGTTTGAATATAATTTGAAAGAAAACACGACCTGTATATATCATTTATTGAGTTTAATATTTACATTGTTATATATAAAGACATATGAGATTATAACACGTCCATTTAGAGTTGTATCTAGCCGTCCACTTGCAGGTTCCGAATCGCCGATATCAATTTACCTGCAGAGACAGAACAAAACGCACAATAGATGATATAACAATTTCAACCTGGTGAATAGTACACAAAGATAGTATGGCTTCAGATTTGCAACGCCCAGCAGTTAATGAAACCATTCGAAGATGTCTCTGATTCTATAAATCATTTCATTTGGGAAATATTTCTCTTTCAAATGTTAAATGTAATACTTGTTTGCAATATCAAATATCGACATTTCATATTTGCGATCACAATGTATATATTTCAAATAAAATACATTCAACAGTTTAATTATTCAATATATACATTTCAAACAAGATTTCCAGAAAACAAATTTTACATTTACCGTATTGTTTATTTTTGTTTGCTATTATTGTGTTATTATTTTAAGGATAGATGTGATAAATCCAATAAGACATATTTTTATCGCAACGTTGGGAATTTCATGACTGTGAATAAATATTAAAAACAAATGTTACAATTGAGAAAACCTGAAGATCGCACTTTTCCCTGCGGTTATACCTGAACAGTTCTATAACGCGAATGTCAGCGGTTGTCTGGTACAAACAGTTGCTGTAGTTTTCTCATATTAGCGGTTTGTACATTACAGCAACACCTCAACAACTCTTAACAATTTACTGATAAACAGAATGCAATATTTTAAGCTTTCGTGTATACTTAACGTTATAATTCATCTACTGAGATAACACGTTTGATAACGTGCTCCAACCATTTAAAAGAAATGACATACCAATGTGGTCAAATCTGTTGTTTAAGGCAACTTCACTACTTTAACATTTACCACATCAACGCGAATGTTATGAGCGAGCAAGCTATGTCCAGCACCAACATTTGCATTAACCCTTTTTTACACTGTAAACAATAGACTGGCTACCCGTTTTTATGAATAATTTCTCCGCTGCATTTTACTACTAGCTTATCTCCCCCTAGTTTAGAATCTAGAGACAGACATCAAATTGTTTTAGTTAAACATTTTTTCTTAATAATATCTAGAGACGGTGGCCAGTCTATGTAAACAATTGCAGGAACAGTTGCACGGTAGCCAGTCTATGTAAACAATTACAGGAACAGTTGCACGGTGTCGAGTCTATGTAAACAATTGCAGGCACAGTTGCACGGTGGCCAGTATATGTAAACAATTGCAGGAAGAGTTGCACGGTGGCCAGTCTTTGTAAACAATTGCAGGAACAGTTTCACGGTGGCCAGTCTTTGTAAACAATTGCAGGAACCGTTGCACGGTGGCCAGTCTTTGTAAACAATTGCAGGAACAGTGGCACGGTGGCCAGTCTATGTAAACAATTGCAGGCACAGTTGCACGGTGGCCAGTGGGGGTAAACAATTGCAGGAACAGTTGCGCGGTGGCCAGTCTATGTAAACAAATAAACAATTGCAGGAACAGTGGCACGGTGGCCAGTCTATGTAAACAAATAAACAATTGCAGGAACAGTTGCACGGTGGCCAGTCTATGTAAACAATTGCAGGAACAGTTTCACGGTGGCCAGTCTTTGTAAACAATTGCAGGAACAGTTGCACTATCATTATCCAAGTGAAATATGTGTTATCGACTACCCTTGCTAATATATATTTAGTGTTAAGATATGTTCTTGGCTAGGTAAATGATAGTAATTCGTCTGTATTCTACAGTATTATGTGATAATGTAACGATCGGGGCCCAGTTGTTCAAAGGGTGGTTAGCTTAATCACTGTTTAACGACATTTTCGATCTCTAATCATTAGGTCAATATACAAGGTAAAAACTCGTAATTTTGTATGTAAATTATCTCTACTAAACATTTGATGTATGGAAAGTTGTAACTAATTCAATGGTTGTGTTTTAAAGATACACAACAATTAAAATGTGCGCTAATCATTGATTAATCTAATCACCTTTTGAACAACTGGGCCCTGGTATTTAATTAATGTTCATTTTCGACCTTAAATTGGTAGTGGATTTACTAACAAAAACATCAAGTTGTCAAGTATGCCCCAATGCTTGTTTATGACAATACGATGATACATGCATGTCTATGTATGACTTGTTTGCTATGTATATGCCCGTGTAAAGGTTTAGGTACTCACCATTAATCTTATACACAATCCTGTGCCTCTGTTTTTGGGCCACGACAACCATTGCCTCCATTTCTCGGAATTGGATTATCACAGGTGCGCGTCCTCACTGACGTCATGTCTGAATGTATAACACGACACGAATGGTGTAGTAATTAAATTGTATACCATATTATTTGACGCATTGAGTTACTGATGTATCACTGTAAACTATAAATCAACTTTAGACATTCTTAATTTGTAGTTCATTGTAATCCTTTCCTGTTTCGATCGACTTTTTGGTGTCACCTTATTATTTGTTGTACATTTAAGAAATGGACTTGAGTTCCATTTTTGTCGCATGTTTACGCATTGTGCCATGGAATATTTTGTCCTGATGAGTTTTGGTATATTTTGCTGTTCAGTTTTTATACTAGTGCTTTTTGTCATTTTGTTTTGCTACTTTGGTATTTTTTAACCTGCGTTAACGCTGAAGTACACTTAGTTCTATTTATCACATAATGTCATGTGAATTTATCCATGTCATATTTTTTGCGTATTAACCCTTGTAATATGACTTATCAGCCCTGTGGGTTGGTTGTAAGTTTCAATTGTTTCAATTGTGATGTCTCGTCTAGGACAAATACATGACGTCACAGACTTACGCACTGGAGTCAAAATGGCGGCTTTTTACTTTTCAAGGTTGCATGAAAATTGTTGTTTTAAACGATTAATGCCACAAATCTTGATTATGTGTTAAAAAGGATCTTACACTCGTTGTTATTTCATATGAAATTTATGAAACTCGTCACGAACTTTTCAATTTAGCGAGACTCTTCCATAAATCTCATATAAAATGAATACTCATGTAAGATCCTATATATATTTTGTCCTGTGATGGCGGTGTGGTGTATTATTCTACTGAAGGACAATTCGTTACTTTTCGACCAACAGTGAATCAATATGATATGGTATCCACTTCAATTTAGAAACGTGACCATGTTTTCACTTGTCACGAACTATTTGAAACTTAACAATCAGACACTCACCTGGCCTGCAGTTCCCCCATTCGCCCCAGTCGCTGTACCATCCGTCAATCGGACCTCTAGTTGTAAAAGGAACGGTAGCACCTGCTCCCCAGTCCTAGCCAACAAAGTCACAAACATACATGTGTACAGTTAACAGAGTCACAAACATACCCGTGTGCAGTTAACAGAGTCACAAACATACGCGTGTGCAATTCACAGAGTCACAAACATACGCGTGTGCAGTTAACAGTCACAAACATACAGGTGTGCAGTTAACATAGTCACAAACATACACGTGTGCAGTTAACAAAGTCACAAACATACAAGTGTGCAGTTAACATAGTCACAAACATACAAGGGTGCAGTTAACATAGTCACAAACATACACGTGTGCAGTTAACAAAGTCACAAACATACAAGTGTGCAGTTAACATAGTCACAAACATACAAGGGTGCAGTTAACATAGTCACAAACATACACGTGTGCAGTTAACAAAGTCACAAACATACAAGTGTGCAGTTAACATAGTCACAAACATACACGTGTGCAGTTAACAGTCACAAACATACACGTGTGCAGTTAACAGAGTCACAAACATACATGTGTGCAGTTAACAGAGTCACAAACATACACGTGTGCCGTTAACAGAGTCACAAAAATACACGTGTGCAGTGTACTTCAACTTTTGCTATATATGTTACATATTGGTGTTAGTTGGCACTTAGAATCAATAACCCGTTCCGATACTTTGATAGGTAGGTTAGATATATTTCTTGAACTCCAACTCTATAGAATCTGTCATTTTGAATAAAGGTTTACATGTACACATACATAGTTCATTTAATGTTTATATTATCTAATTTAACATCGTACAGAGTAATTAAAGTATCCTATGGACAAGTGAACATTCTGTGAAACATGAACATGTCTGCCCTTATACCGGATAGCTTATTCAACACAGAGAGGAAAGGTCGCATGATTAATTATTTGCACCATTCAGTGTGGTAGGGCGAATACAGTACATGGCAGTAATAAGTACACACTAATGTAAAGCAGGACATATCCGTGAGGATGATATTTTCGCGATTTTGCGGGTCAATAACGTAACCGCGAAAATATGATCCGCAGAATAATATGACAAGTGTAAAATTGAGCCGCGATAATTAACTTTCTAACCGTAACGTCGTCTTTAAATAACGATTTTGTTGTTGTCATGATTAATTGATATCAACATTAATACAAGATTTTGTGAAATTATATTTTATCATAGATGTAATAGTTGTGTTGATAATTTGTTAAACAAAATACACTTAGTAGGTTTTACTCAACATGCTGTAAAAAAGGCGTATCCATTTGACTATTTGATACTGTATATGCTAAATTTTCCGTCTCCTTGCTAAAACTTTAAAACTTTTTTTTTTTACTTATTTGACACGTTAAGATCGTATAATATTATCCGTGTAAATTAATTATTCTAATTTTGGGTCAAGATCGCGAAAAATGTAGTCCGTGCAAATAACCCATTACACGGTAAATACGTTTACAGTAATATTCTACGTTTTGTGCTATTTTGAGCTCAACCACACGTGAAAGTGCCCACCAATATTAATGATGTATTATTGTTTTTATTATCGCTATGGTTATACCGGTTCTGGGCCGTTGTAGTACGTGTCAAATGATAAATTGTCATCACTCCTTTTCTTGGCAACGGATCGCTGTAATAGAAAAAATTACATCATATCATACATATCTGATTGGCTATTGAATTGTTGTATCATTCAGAAATATTCCCGAGTAGAAAATAATAATTGGTAATATTTGTTTTGTTTTTTTGTTTTTTCATCGCTTCACGGCCCCTCGACAATACGAGTCATTTAGGGCCAAACAAAACGTTAAAATAGGCAATCACAAAAATAAATACATCAAACTAGAAATAAAAGGGTTTAAAAGGTGCAACACATTAGCAACAGGGAACGAATTGGTTGTAAATCATATCAGATCTTATTATTAAGATAGTAAGTAAGAATAGAAAATATAGTAAGAGAGGAGAAAAACAAAAACATGACATATTTTATTACATCAATATAGGTAACGGACCGGTTTCTGGCACTATATTTCCCGTAAATGGCAATGAAATTAATATAATAACAGCATATGTCTGTATTATGCCTTACCTTAGCCGGAGGAGTGGGCGTGTCCCGCTCTCTACAATGGGCAGTACTCATGTCGTTCGCTTCGACATATACTCTGATCACCATACATATGTCACCAGCGCATTGATTGGTGTCTCCGTCCTCTCGTACTTCATTCGTAAACAGGTTGACGTAAAGCATACTGCAATGCAACATATTTATATTTTGCAATTATATTTAAATATATTTTATCAAAGAAAAAACAAGAGTATACTGTATTTTGGAAAATGTTCACCACTGTTTACTTTGCATTTTTTCGACTATCATAATGAGGGCGAAGTTATCACGACAGCGAATATTACTACACACCATTCGTGTGAAGGGCTAAATTATAAAGGGCTTACATTGAATTTTCAGGTGAAAGGCGAACATTAAATCAATATTAGTTTTCCAGTACACAGTAGTTTCTCCAATCTGTATATATCATCACCCTACAAGATTTCAGAACAAAAACATATATAAAAGTGCATATTCTGCATCGAAAAAGTTTATTTTATTAGAAAATTTTACATATTAGAAAATCTCTAAAACAGATTAACCTTGTAATTGATACATTGGATGACTACAGAAAGGAAACAAAGACAGAGGCAGAAAAACAATATTAATTCTAATGGAGAGCTGTTTCAGACTATAACAAGTTATTTAAGGCTTATTTCTAATCCGTCTTTACGTATTGAAGAGTTATCTTCTCTTGTGAGCAGGTATTGATTGTTACGTCATTGGTTTGTGTGAGAAAATGACGTCGTTTTCTCAAAAATTGATGACGTTACTCTCACAAACAAATGACGTAATAATTAATACCTGCTCACAAGAGAAAATAACGGAATACTGTGCATTTTAACATAAGATATAACAAAAAGTAATTGAAGGAATAACGATATTGAACGATTACCTACCCCGAGGTTCTGTTACGGAAATATTTGCCGCCGTCGGTATCATCGTCGATGTCGTGAACACTGTCTACCTCGGTCCACTGGTCCAGTCCGACGAATCGTTTGGGATACCACGTCTTCAGGTCGATTGTGGCGTTAAGTGGCAGACAAACCCCGACACGAATAGGATAGTCTCTGTATTAAGTTATGTAAAGGTAAAAAAATCACGGTTTTATTGTAAAACATACAACTTGTACGAATACCTATATCAGGAAGCGATGGAAGCGCGCAGAGGACCACAATGTGGGAAGAAACCGGAGTATCAGTAGAAAACCCACGTGCTTGGGCGAGTGACCCAATACCTTTTAATGCCCAGGGAATCAAACCCAGACTGTCTTTGCGAAAGGCGGGTGCACTATCCACTGCGCCACTTTTCTTTCATGTTATTTTTGATACATTTTGGGGAAATTACAGCACATTATTTTCTTTCAGACTTATTGTGAAAAAACGCTAGAGCTATATAAACTGTTCCCGGTTTTACATTTCTTAATCTATCTTAAAAGTACACTTTTAGTGGACTCAGATTTTACCGTATTATTGAATTTCAATAGATCAGCGCATTCAAAAATTAGCACATTCAAAATACAAGCAACAGAAAAACATTTACAGGAACTTCAATAAGCGCAGTCATAATGTTGAGCAAGATACAAAGCGTGAAGAGCGCGATATCAGAATAGCGTTAGGATATAGTTCACCGTATATTACCCATTGTTTTTCATGTAACTTTGACATAACGGATATTTATTACAGCACTTACTTTTCCAGCTCCTTAGGAATGAGCATGAACTCAGACGGGGACTTCTCCGGCCAGTAGATAGAGTAGCTATAGTGGCCGCCACTGATCAGTGGATAGCCACGGAAATGAGGAAGAGTAGAGTGCCAAACAGTGTCTGGAATATCATCTCTTACAAACATCGGCTTCAGTTCTGTTTTAGTTTTTGATGTGTCTAGGCAGCGCAACTGTAACATGAAAACCTTACTGATATTGGTAACAGTAATATCAGTACCTACTATTTGTATATAATTTAGCCTAATTATATTATCATACATATAATATATGTGTGCATACATGAGCATGCGTATATTGTCTCAAGTTTCGAGTACATTGCCTAAACTAATCTGTTCAATACATTTTGGTTGCAAATATAAAATTTGAGAATATGAAATGTTGTCCTTGTAGGAATCATCGGTGTGGCTAGGGTCAGAATAGGTGGAAAACCAAACTGGTCTTCATTGCTTTTAAAACAGAAGGGGAAATAAGAAAAAGAACACTAATTTTTAGGAATTTAAAAAATAACCATGAATAAAACGTGTATATTATGAACCATAATAAGATTCCTGAGGCTATCAGATTACAGCAAACCTCGGGGACTAAGCAATCAATCAGGTGATTCTACTTCCTCATACAAAACTATGAATAAAATAAACACTTTCAATAATGCTTTTCTGTTTAAATTTCTACGTAAAATTCAAGATCTATGAATGGAAGTTTAAAGAATACGATACTTTTATCGTCATAGCGTACGTATACATGTATTTGGTTAAGTAAGTATGGTACATTCGTGAACTTATTCAGGACCATATAGGCATATTTAAGCGTTTGAACTTTCCAAAAGTTTCCAACTTTCACTTCGTATACATATATTTGACTATAAATCCCTTTATATTGCTAGGTAAGCAACTTTCCAACTTTCACTTCGTATACATGTATTTGACTATAAATCCCTTTATATTGCTAGGTAAGCAGTGGTAATATACCGAGACTATCAATATATGTAGAAATGGCCCATTAAAAATCTTTGTTCCGTTATCTGGAAAATACGTATGCGATTCTGAATACCAATCCATGTAACACTGCCAAAAAAGTCACTATGTATTGGAAACTCTTTTCATATATGACAGCTTCGACAATGTTATTCTTAACAAAAAACTACACCTTGCGGTACCTTTATGAACAAATAATACAGATGAAATAAGTCTATATCTGTGCTTTAAGTATAAAACTGCAAAGAGCAAGACCAGCATTCGTACCCCGGACATCCGTTCTCCACACTTCTCTTTAACAACAATGAGCTACTGGTTAAACGCAGTAGCCTGGAACAGTCGCGACAGTGATATCCGAAAAATAATTTCAGAGAATTTACTCTATGTTAGAAAAACTGCAGTGTGATTCTATAAATCAGTGGGACAGGCCTCCACAAAAAATGTTGCATGAAGGTCAACATTAGCCATGTACAAGACGATGATTACATTTACCCTCACGTCTAATACACACTGGTCCAATATAGATGTCACCAATGAACTGAGTATGATACACATGGCGAACTTGTCCCCAAACACCGCGTTGCATTTTTAAACAGTAACACTAAGCATCTTAAATCTAGGAATATATATTTTCCAAACTATATTGGGCAGTCCGTACATTATTAACTGTTTCTACGTATCGCTAATAATTATCATACCGTCATGTATCTATAAGGACAGATCATCGCATTCCATGCTGACTTCATAGTACAGTCAGGCGTTGTCAGGAATGAGAAGGGCCTTACAACAGTACTCAACGGATCAGTGGTAACCGAACCGTCCAGGTCTCTGAACTTTGCAGCAAGGTCACCATCCAGGTCACCAAAGCCGTATATACTGCTGTTTCCATCGTACACTCTGTTTCCCGTGAGCAGCTTGAAATACAATAATATATATATATATAATCATATAATTTAGGAATCGCGAAACAAGTGTTAATAAGAGGTGAAAATATTCAACTATATTTTAACATTATGACTGAACCTCAGTACTGTGACTCAATGAGTTCGACTAAAGACAACATGAATACATTTTAATAAGGTTTCACTGGCGCTTTTCGGAAAAATACAAGAAATGTCGAATTTATTGAATAGGGCATGGCGCGTTCTTTTCTTTCATGTGACCTTCATCATACCACATCAATATCTTTTATCAATGTTAGGAACAGCAACGTTTTCCTGCTTATTAAACATAAGACTATCAAATTGTAATAAATAAAGACATTTTATAATAGTACACCCTACACTCATTTTGACACAGATAATTGCAATGTATTATAATAAATGAACATATGGACAAGCGCGAATTTGGTATGTTCATTGATTCATACACTATTACAGCTATGTCTGAACCCACGCGAAGAAAAAGAAATGTATCAACTTCTTCTAAATGTGTTGCGTTGTTAATAGGTCTTTTCCCTTTACTAAATAGATATATATATTTTTCATAAATAGAATAAAAATAGCATAAACTACATCACATTTTCGAGATTATAAATAGAATTTAACATGAACATTCTGTGTCATTAACTTACCCCGTCCGGAAATCCAAAGTGAATATTTGTAGCTCCACTTATAGCGGAACTAGCTGCATCGTTAAATCGTTTGAAACCTATTGCGCCGGCTTTGCGGTACTCGTTGGGCGTATATTTGTCGAAGTAAATATCAGAAATGAATACAGGTCCGTCATAGAAAGCGAATCCTTGCAAAGGCAAATTGCTATAAAAATGTATGAAACACATGTTAACCCCGTAAACAAATAGGTAAATAATTCTCAAAGCAAAACAGTAATTGATAAATATTTGTTTCTTGAGACATTGCATATTCATGTAAGTACTTTCTTTTCAGTCTTTCGATAGAAAATAAGTATATCGAAATATAATATAAAATTCTTTGTCGTAGACTACTCGTGTATCTATGAGTTATGAACATAGGATAGAAATTGCAATCTGAAGAAACCATCTGTACTCATGAAGTCTTGCTGTATTGAGTGTGACATACCTAAACATCAACGAACATCCATTTTCCTCTGAGTGCATAGTTGGAAAGCGTATAAATATTAGTTCAATTCAAAATCAAATTATTTCTCATTTGCCTTCTCCGATGTTTTTGGAACTCTTACAGTCATTCCTTCATGCATTTTCTTTTTATTAAAACGTGAGTTCGGTTATGACCTTGTGCATACTTTGCTTTAGTCCTATCCTTAATTTCTAGACACCTGTCATGTTATCTTCAAGATGTTTATCCGTTTGGAAATATGTTTGCATAGAAGCCTTACTTTATACGCAAACATCGTATGTAAACGTGTCGCTACGTTTCAGGACCGCCTATTATCTTCATCAAGCTTTGACTCAGAGTTTGACAAGAGATCAGTCTGTTTTGAAACGTTGCGAGACATTTATAGATATTTGTTTCGTGTTACCTCATGTTGTCACGAGAGGTTATATCGCAACCCTGACATATTAAAAAAATAATATTACGCTTACTAGTTTCATACAATGTATTACCTGTAACTGAGCGAGATCGGGCTATCTCAGTCGAGGGCTAAGATTACGTAACATAATCCAAACCGAGGCGTAAGCAGAGGTTGGGATGTTACAGAATCTTATACATCGCAAGTAATAATTATAAATATCATAATTTCAGATATTTCTGTTCACATTTGGATTTGAATAAAAACGAACAGGTTGAATAAGAGCATGCAGGCATTTAGGGGGTGCCGTAGGGGGATTTTCAAACCTCAGAAAGTACTATATCAATAGGTTTAAACGTAAAACACACTCAATTATAACGATGCTTGAGATGCTGTTTGAAGATTATTTTGTTTAGAATAAATGCATGTACTTGTATTTCGGAGAGGCTTAGTAAATAAAGCGAGAATTAACCTTCTCTCCTCGGCAGGAAATACATTTTTGTTAGCTAGAAATTCACCGACACCTGCCGTTAAAACACAGGGTTGTACTGTACAGTTAAGGATTTCTCCATTACAGATTAAAAACGCCATCAAAATTGCCTTTTGTCAATTTCTTAACATGAATCGTTCATAAGGAGTAACAAACTATGTTATCATTCAGAATTTTGTGATAAGGTTATAAACAAATCTTGCTTCACTGAATTGTCCCTTTAACGGGCGGATGAATACGCCGCTGGGTGAAAATTCCACGAAATGTCACGTAACGCTACCGACAGATCGGACGAGGAAGACAAAATAATCTAGCATGGGGTATATGACGTAGGATATCTCTGTCTGATGTGCGAGAAATACCTATGTGGTACAGAAAGAGGAATATCCTTCCAGTTTATACTTACTATTTATACTGATGTGGTACCGAGCGAGGCAAATCCTTCCAGCCATCTGATCCGAATGCTCGTGTTGGGTCGCCAATATTTCTGGTCTCGCCAATTATTACACTTTTTTCCATGAACTGTTCCTGTCTCGAGTTTCTTACATAAAAAGGTACAAACTAGCTATCGGTAAATATATTGTTTTTGAATACATAGCTGTACCCTAAAGTTGCAACGAATTACTACTGAAGGATAGATTCCTACTGCAAACTGATTCAGTCTTATATTCTATCCACTATATCTGACGTCAAATCGTTAACAATGGTGGTTTGTTTTTGTAATAGTCTCACTTCGATTACATTCAAAGACAAAAACAATAGCACAATTCTTACTTCAGCAACACCTGACACGTTTGGTACTTATGGCTTGGTTACATTTTGATAAATGTCCTATCAGCAGCTTAGGTCTTCATTCATGTGTGTTATTTTGTATGCACGTATGTTTTTATATTTGCTGGTATGACGGTAATATTAAGAAATAAACATCTAAATTATTCATTGATACATATTTTTCATTTATTCACTGATTCATGAGCAACAGCAACCAGGAGTTCTGGCACAAAATGTACATCTAAAACACTATCAAAATGGTTTTAGAGCAAACCTACCTCGCAAAAAGCATGGATGTCAGACTTCCACCAAGCCTTCAAATAAATAAAAGGAGGTATTTGTCAGTAAGAGACTAAACATAACTTATCCTTCTGGACTCTCTAGCTAAATATTACAACATATCGATTATCATAAAAGTTCAACGTACTTTATGGAAGTGATACTTCTACTTTTCGCTTATTTATGAAACATTTTTTTTCTGAATATCCTGCTTACTACTTTCATGCTACATTTGTTACTATAATAGCGGTTTCCTTATAAATGATGGTTTGTTACCATGCTTTTTAACGTTCTTATCCAAAATTGTTAACATGCACGGGTTATCTTCTTCAAATTATCAATTTTTTACCAAGAGGCAAACAATTTTCCCTGCATGAAATCCCTCACCCACCCCATCCCTGTTCAGCGACACTGTGGTTTTAATCAACAAAGCAAAGCCTTAATTGTTCTATCTCAATTAAATGATACAACCGTTTTTAATAAAAAAAAATATCTAGGGTAATGTTTGTTTTAAAATTGGTTGAAACAGCAATGTAGTTGTTACACATAAACAAATCCAAAATAATAGGGAAAAATGTATTTTATACTTTATTGAGTAATATACTTGACAGAGCTAGGTTAGTAAAATAACGTCGTAACTCTCTCATAGGAGTGTAATAGCCATGGTAATCATAAATGTAAATGTTGTAATGGGTTAGATGTGTTCCAAGATTCATTAAATATATTGTTTTATTTGTGGAACTGTGTGAATGAAAGTGTCAAAGGACAGGCAGGAAAACTATTAACATTCTGGTATACCTGACTTAGTTGCATTGATATAGCTTGATGTAAGAAAAGCATTATAGTCAATCACCGGGGAATCATTTCCTCTTCTTATCTTTATATCTGTCAAATCGTTTATTAAATCTCGTGATTTCAATAACTGATTGATAGGCACATGATGTCATTCTGTAACAAATTAACATGAGCGTAAGATTTTTTTGGGGAAAAATACAAACAAAGAGGAAAAACTCACGAGGCTTTTGAAACTGTAATGTAACCCCCTCTTAACCATGCATTATCTCTGTTGTGGTATGCTGCAAAGGAAATGATGGGTAATTCCTTCCACTTATATAACTTGGTGAGCATGGGCAGTATATTCTGATTATTTTTATAAAACGATAAAATAATTTACATAAGTAAGTTACCATGACATTGACAATAATACTATTATCACGACATCCTGGCATTGCATGACAGTTTTTTCTTCACAATTCTTTTTGGTAATATTTTTTTTAATGTATATTATTGACTTGTTAAGATTTCAAACAGAAAACTTTTTGCAAAAACAATAATTTGATATATTACGAGTTCTTTTTATAACAAAACTGTTACATTTTGTATTTAACTCAAACAATAATTTTTACATTTGCATGGCATTGTCACTATATAGCCTCTTTGAAAGCAGTGTCGTTGATGGGACTTTAATTACCATGCAGCACGAGACACGATTCTTAGCGTATTAATACAACACTGACCGGAACTACAATATCCAATGTAAATGCTGAAATATCGCTGGGCATTGTGAGACTTGACAATGTTATTGTAAATTTATGTGCAAAAGACAAAAACAAGACCAATGTCTGCAATATCGAACAAAATGCATATCGGTTGAAATTACCAATGCCGGCAATGGAAACAATTTTAACACTCACGCAATTTATCAGAAATATCGTCTGTTACACTGCACTGATCAACAGGGGTTCGTTACAAATGTCTGAAATACACATGTTACAGACCTACTGATATGAGTCACAGCACACATAAACATTTCATACATTTGTAACGAACCCCTGTGCTCCTTCGCAGGATCACTCACTTCAAACGATATCAGTTTCACCCGTCTCGCAGCCACCGTTTCCCCAGTTTCTGATCACGACATGTCAAATAACGAGGCTGTTATAGAATCTACCGACTGTAGTCAGATTTCCATACAACCAACAAATAAATTCACGTCTGGATTCTTCACAAAATGAGAAACTTTCGAATTAACTTCCAAAAATAACTCCCTCGTGGAGGTCAAGGTCGGTTTCACGGTGTTCACTGTAATTATCCATGCGCGAAATTTGTTCCAGCTCAGATTTCTATTGATAAACTTAAATCACCCTATAGACATATCATACGCAATTGTATTGATACTGAATTGTGGAATAAAATTGAACTTTTTGTTAAAATTTCAAAGTACTACTTTGTTTGCCAATCACCACGTGACAATACGCTGTTCAAATTATTGAACGAAATTGTGCGGGCTGTCGATAAGGCGGGCATTTTTAATTTTAAATATAAAGTATAAGTTAAAAAGGAACATAAGAGGTAAAGAAAAAGTAAATATAAGTATTGAACTGTTTATGTATGGTATTTATGATCTATTTGAATGACACAGCTTTGCAAGCAAACAAATCATAATGCGCGCTACAGTTCAATGCTTAATTATATAGACGGATTACGTAAAATCCGTGTCGACTGAGTTAGAAGTAACACAATGTTATTGTATTTTTGCTTCAAAAGGATTTATGGTTGAGCATTACAGATAAATAAAACTAGTTTTATAAGTGTGTGAAAATTAATATTATGTATTATTTAACTATGAAGATCGACTAGTCTGGAAAACTATGGCTAAAACTGTATCACGATATAAAATTGATTCAGAAAGCATTCCATGCATACCTGTGAGTCGGTCAATGATTACATTCTTGTCTGCAGAAGTTGGATCAGAAGGGTCTTCTTTGGGTTGATATCTGTTACAGGAGTCGATCTCTTCTGTCACCAAATCTATCCGGTCATCGATGAATATACCATTCTAAAACACACAAATGCACTTTGGTTCATAAGGGGATATGCTTCCTTGGTATAATACAAGGTAAGAAATAAAGTTGGGCTTCATATTATTGATGGTATCGAATCATGCATTTGTGTGTGTGCTGTTCTAATATGGAAGCATACACCTTAATCAATATTAGCCTTCATTAATTACTTTTCGCTGTTCAATTCTTTCATATAGGAAATATATCAGAGTTAGAAAACATTTATTTTAATTTTATGTCATTTAGGCAATATTTTCTTCCTCTTGCGATAGGACATTAGGCGTCATTATTTTTTCTTAAACACTTTACCTGTTCTCACATGGATGACCTTATATTACCTGGATTAGACATGGATTAATATATTGGGTGCCGCTTCTGGGCACCTTATCTTATTCTCCGTGTAATTTTATAGAACTGAGTCCCCGTGTATATATTTCCTATGTTCATGTTTTGTGCAAATTTGACTCATATTCAGTTTCAAATAGGTTATAATTCTCTAGTAGTTTGTACCTAGAAAATGTTACAAAAAGATTATGATACTTAATAAAGAAGCCCGTTTTACTACTCATGTGTGTGTATAAGATTCCTGCTCATAGAAAATTTTCAATCAAAGAAATCTTTAAAATCTTTACAAACGCTAGAAGTGTCCGTGCGAATCAGGTCATGATTTTGATTACAATGAGACGTTTTAGGAAATTGCTTTTTTCAAATTGGTATTTGTAAATTAATTCTTGTCAAAAACATATATGTACATATTTGTATCCCGTTCGTTGGGATTTTTAAAAAAAGATATCGCATATCACCTTACAATTTAGGCTGGCCCCCGTCTCTAGAATAGTGAATCATTTAGAAAAAAATAAACTTTGATCACTTAGATGTCTCATTCCTAAGTTCTAAACTAGGGGGAGATGAGCTAAAACTAAAATACAGCCAGGAAATTTTGCATAAAAACTAAGTCTACTTACAACTGTACATTGTTGTTTTCTTGCTTGCTTTTACCTTATTTGAATGAGCAACGTTGTTGGTGAACTCCGTTATAGCGGTATAGCGAGCTTCAAACATCTTCATAAAGCCTTTGTCCGCGGAAGGTCCGAGAGGCAAATCAGGAAAAATAAACCAAATACCCAAATCCTACAAATAAACACATAGCTTTGAGCATTCATCATCTCTTTCTATAAATGTGTACCTAACACAGGTGGTCTGAGATTATGATTATAATTCTCTACTGTATAATCTGATTCTAGTTATCGCGATCATTCATATTGTTGTCTTTATGAATTTACACATCAGAATAAGACTCTTCAGTTAATCGCGAACATTAACATGTTTGTCATTTCTCTACCTTTCTACTGACATTAATGTACACTGATGTCATGAAGTCATAGAAATATGATAGTATGTTTTCTACACAAATTCGGGTTTTACCCAATTTGTGTAGAAAAACCCCCACTTGGGCATGAAAGAGTCTTATACTATTTTTTACTCCTCAATCAAAATTAAATTCCAAGAAAAATATTGTTAGTTTCTCGATATTATATTCGTTTTTTCCTCTTTCAATTTTATTTTCGTTCATTATTTTCAGAAATTGAACAGAACGAAGCACCTCTTCTTATATTCAAGTGCTGTTATTAAGTCTCAGAAGCATCTGTGTAAACAGTTACATTTTGATAAAATTCACTGAACTACATGTATGACAGAATTAATGGTTGATAAGGTAGATATAACATTTCGTTTATAATTTTTGTATGACTATTTTATTTTTCATTTTACCTGACTTCCTGCCGCAACGTTATTCCGGAAGGTTGTCTGCGGATTTGTTATCCAGTATGTAGTTGGCCGTCTAAAATCATGAAAGGAGAGTAGGTTATATAATCTATTTTTAGTCCGGGTGTTATAAAGATATAGACAGTAACATAACTTATTGTATCATTGTTTTTCATTCTTGTGACTGATGAGACTGGAATTATTGCAAAACAATGCAGTAGAATGTTTTACAGAGCATGTTTTCACATTTTCAAATTCGATTTCAAATATGTTCTTCCTTAATAATTCTAATACTCCGTTTTTCTAGTAATTGTGATGCGAGTATTTACTTCTTTTTTTTTCGTGCAATATATACACATTTTATACCTAGTTATGCAGGAAAAGGTGGTGCACCTAAACAATTTCGGATTTTATACACTATTAATGGTTTCATTTACCTATCCAGGGGTATGAGACTTCCGCGTCTAGTGTTTGCGCCCAAATTACCATCAAAGACTGTCCTCTTCTCCCCTCCATCTTCTAGGAAATAGCAATGTCCTATAGACTCGTAGGCAACATTGTCCATCACCTGTCTCAAGCAAAATAGACAAAAACTATGCAAATGTCGAAATTAGGTCAAGATGGTGACTAAACGTTTTCCTGTATAGATTGAAGCCTCTTTAGTACAAAAAACTTTGTCAAAATAATTTATTGCTTAACGGAACGNTCATTGAATGACGCTGGTTTTAGGGTAGCACGTTAGCAATTTATAAAAAAAGATCGCCCGCACTTTACATTTGATAGCATTATAGTACCAACGTGGTATCATATAAGGCCGGTTCCCGGTTGTTAGGCAAAGCGCATTGATACACAGGGAGAACACACGGGGTTTCTAAGACTATGCCTTGGGTCGAACATTTTTCGAGGTGGAGGATTGTGTGACAGCTAAGCAAATTGAGAGAAATACACTGTTTTACTGGCATGCTAGCTTTTCAAGAGATACGATATAACCTGGGGATCCGCTCTCTTGTTTAGCAACGTCGAGAGCGTAGTCAGAAGCTTGATGGGTGACCGCCCGCACGTTTTACTATGACACTCTTTTGATTTTCTTCTGTGTATTTTCAAAAATCCAAAGGAATACTGTTACCAACCTGATTTTAAACAGATATCTTTTTGTTTGTTTGTTGTATTGGGGTATAATATTTTTGCGACAGCTAAGGTCATATGAGGTCATATGAAGACAGTTGTCTACGGAAAACCGCAAAATAAGAAAGAGTAAGGCATCAAAAATAGAAGAAATAGAGATCTCAAATTTGCAATGGGGGCAGGATATTAAGTTTGATTTCTTCATTGTCATCTTTATCAAAATCCACATTTAAGATAACCCTTATTCGGCAGTGGGACGCCACGTTAGGCACCTCTTACGATCTACATACCGTGACCCCGTGTGTGCCGTGGACCGTGATACACCTAGCAAAGGTGTGATGGATTGCATTATCTCTGACGTAAGGTGGATTTGGGTAGTCGTCTCCATCGACATCTTCACACATGTGAAAGTGAACGGGATAATGCCCTGCAATGAAGACATGATAAATCATAACCCATGGCAAGCAACAATATTCTATTCAGCGGTACAATCCCTTTTTCTTTGCATAGAATCTTTTCTATTTCCTTTAGTGCAGGTACATTTAACAATAAACATTTATAAATGGAATATTTATTGATTGTTGATGAATACACATCATAACTAAAATCTTCGATATTTGACGTTAGTATATGGCATGATATTTAATGTATTTGGTATTCAATAAATCATACAAAACACAAAATTCAATATCAAACGCGCGCTACAACACGTTAAGTCATGAGGTTATCAAAAGTTATATCATTTCCCACTTTTTCTTTTACAAACAAATTTAAAGCAAAGTAATATACAAACTGAATTAAACTCAATATATTTACACTTGCTCTGCATTCTTCCATTGTAATGCATTGTGAAGCCAAACGTTGTTAGGGGACTAAAAAACATTTGCTATTTTGACGTCATCAGTATCTATTGTAACGTCACCAATTTCATTTTTGTCAACGCTTGATTTGCTGTTCGAAATATGTATAACTCAATAAAGCATAACTTCTCTATCAAAATGTCAATATAAATAATGAATGTTTTAGCAAATATCGTTATGGTCCTACGACAATATTTGCTAAAAGAGTCATTGACTAAATGACGCTCACATATCCCAAACTTATTACCGATATCTTACCAAGATCTGTCTGTTTTCCCATCTGCCGTATTTCAGCTCCTTCAATGTGCACATCCTTAAAACCTTTAATTGCCTGCAATAATAATTGTAAACATTATTTTAAGCAATAATATTACAAAGATTGCATTTTTTATCATTATATACTATAATACTGTATTTTTTTATCATTTTTAAAACAATATAAACTTCTTAGATAGTTATGCTAATTTTTGTAAATTTTCATTATTCTAAATGTTGCAACATGTGATATAAATGTTTTCATCATTAACTAACGCTATACTATTTTTATATACCTTGATATGACCACCAAATGTATCGTAGTTGTATGTTTTGCAATTCTCGTTTACACTGGGACAGTAACTATTCATGGCGCCCTCTATGACAATGTTTCTTGATAGAAGCGCCACCTCTCCTCTCATGTCAATATTTGTATCGATTTCACCAAAGTGCATGAATTTTGGTTGAACTAAAACAGAAATGTAATTATTGTTAAAAAATACCCAGATGAACAAGGCAGCAGAAAGTAGAGGTTGAACGATAACATTTTTTTTATGTCATGTTTGATTATGTCTGAGACACATACATATTTTTAATACTTATTTCATGCATATGTACAGAAATTACCCATGCTATATTTGTGTCACGACGCACTATATGTAATTGTATGACGATTTTATACACTTATATTTGCAATTGCGCTGCAATCCACTATATGAATATTACCAGCAGAAACGCATTTTATTTGAGTTTGAAAGCAAAACCTCCCGTAACTTAACACGTGGTTTACTTATGACGTCATTGATAAACTTTGTTTAGTGAAAGTCTTGTCGCTTCGCTTCGGATAACATGGAGAATGCGCCTGCGTCACACGCTAAAATGACTACGGTTAATTATTGGGGCAAATTTTATTTGAATAGGGCTTTTTCGCCAATGTCGTTTTAAGGACAACGCATAAACAAACCGCAGTAAATAAATCAGTTATTTAAGATAAAAAATATTAAACAATTGCTCTATAGTAAAAATGTAAATGTATTGTATATGGATTGAACGGCGTTATTTTAATTTCATGCCGGTATGAAAATTTTAAAAACGCCGTTCAATCTTTATATGTTAAATTCATTTCAGCTGATTGGATGCAAACAGTTTTTATTATTCTTATTTACCAAGCCAATACTACAATACTAAGACACACTGAAATTAACTCGAGTATGTCATTTTTATGGATTTCAATGCTAACCAGCCATGTTTAAAAAAGTAACGGAAAATAGTAAAAAAAAAAAATCTGAATTAAATTACATTTTCAAATTAAACAATTTGTATACAAATCTATCATTTTATGGCGTTACAGTTTTCAAACTCACGTGATACATTCACTTGTTTGTCTGTACATTCATCACATCTGACCACTATTGTCTCCTCGGCTTTTTCCATGTCATAATCAGTGGACGTCAATACCAAACGGTCACCTGCAGTTTTCACATTTTGCGTGAGTAAATTAGCGCCAAAGTATACAACAGGTATTTGTTTATGAAGACAGATTATTTAGATTGTAAATATATTAGATATATATATTTAAGAACCTTTCCCAACGCGAAAATTCCAATAAATCTATTAATTTAAAGGGTGACAACGTTTGTATTCCCCCACACACAAAATAATTATATTTTTCAGTAGACATATACAAATACAAAATGCATGGACTACGCAAAACAACGAATAAACAATGAACTGTTTAAAGGACGCACGAAGGGATAAAAAAATAAAATTTGATATATGAATAAATAAAAAATGCATGTGTACATTAAAGTAACAAATGAGAAAAATGACTGATTTGATAGGTAAATAGGAAGTAAACGAAAATCATTCAATCAACAAAATTAACAAGATCAAAAGAATTGAAATACTTTCATTTATTCCAAATAAACAAAATAACCAATTAAGTAAATTGCCATCAATAATGAAAAAGAAAATTTGTTCTAATAAATGTGTTGATAATAAGCGACATGTTTTACATCCTTTAATTGACAAGCCTATTTTACCTGTATTTTTGATTTCACTAATAAGCTGCGTTACCTTCTTTCCATGTAGTGACGTCATCAACTACATCCAAAATAACGGCATTCGCTTCTTTTTGCACAACCTGGAACTCTATTAAGTTGTTCCATTTCCTGGAGGCTGCAAACGTCCTGCTGGTGGCTATCATTGTAAAGTCACCGACGTTCACAGTAGCTCTAGCTGTAGTGGAGAGGTGGCTTATACGGGACAGCGTCTCACAAGTAGAACTTGGATCACCTTATAATACAGAATCGTGAATAGATTATCAGCAAGTGAAGTTAAAGAATGGGAGGAAAGGAACCACATCTACAGGAAGGCGGCAGCAGTTATCGTTATTTTCCGGGGAAACGGATGTTAGAGGTCTTATCAATAGGTGTCACAATAAATAGTAATAATTTCTAAACAGCGTGCTTTATCATTAAGCTCATTATTTTTTTCTCTCTCAAATACGGTAAAAATTAAAACGGTAATGAAGTATGTGTACATGAATCAAAGACCACAAAAACAGATCATAAAGTGTTAATATGACGTATTTAACATCAGAATGAATATTCAAGTTATATCCTACCTAAAGTATATCAGGGTTCTCCCCAGAATTTTGTTAAGCGGACTTATCAGACGGACACAGCAAGCACTTTAGCATGCTCACAAATAACATATTAAATTTAGGGGGGTGGGGGTCATCATATAGATGTGGCCCTTATGTTTAGTTTCTTTCTCTATAAATAAGTACTTTTGGTGAATTTTAAAACAAAAGAAAAAGAAACCAATTAAATTACGTTTCTTAAGTATAGATTTTCAGCAATATAAAATTTGTTTAATTATTTAAAATTAATTAAAGAAGAAAACATTTTAAAGTTTTTAATGTTACATAAAGAGTGAAACTGAATCCATGAAAAATCGCATTTACTATTATGGTAACAGATAATGTTTAACTAAAATTTACAGTGTTAATATTTTTTCTAAAACGGTATTAAATACTTTTGTCAATAAATTTGTTCAAGTATTAAAACAGCTTTTTATTTTGGGCCCTTCTTCCTATAAAAATAACAAATCAGGATTTTCATTCCGCTTTCCGTTTTGTACTTTACACAATCCAAGACGGCGACCATCAATCACTGAATACACACGCTGTTTTAGCGTTGTCAAATGCAATCATTTGTGAGAAGATTAACTCATAATAGCCATATCAAGTGTTTGTTTTTCAAGTCTTACAGTTTTTTCTCAAACTAATCACCTATTGATCATGTCAAGAGGACCCGGTGATCATAGATTTATGCTCAAGTGAGCATGCTTGCCGGACACCTGTGACCTTGTCCTCCGGGCCCCATCCACATTAATTACAGTCCCCCTGAGGCACACGCCACCGTGCAACTGACAGTGGGGTCACTGCTGGACTTGGGGCAGCCTTGTTATACATAATAAGTGTCAAATTCTTGTGTGAAAGACCCCCCTCAGTACAAATAACAAAGTGATACGGTTTGAAGTTTAAGGCGATACGGCCAGTTAAGCTGGTACGGCAAAATTCTTTTTGAATTGTTTTGCACCCAAATAAACGCCGTTTTTAAAGCATTACACTATCGCAACATCACAACAAATACATAGGTGACCTGTATATTTCATTCGGTCGGTCTATTATTGCCTATTATTATTCAAGAAAGTTTTTTTTACAAAGTTTATAGGTCTTAGCAATTATAAACTAAAGGGTAAATATAATATTTCTAGACAAATTCGTTCTTAAAAAGAAGACGTTTGACGTGAAGAAAGTGTTTGACTCCTGTGATCTCGAATTTACTTACAGGCATTGATGTTTTTACAATTTGTCAACACGTTCTTAAGCATTCTTCCTGTCACAAACCTATCATTATTGTTTAATAAGAAGAGGACTTCGAATTATTTAACACTTGTGGTCCCTGTGATTTCGGATGTGGTTATTGTAATTTAATTTTTGCAAACAGGAAAGCCCCTAACCCTAGCTTAATAAAAGCGAAATATTATAAACAATTGCCTCTCGGCTTTTGAAAAGATGTTATTGTTTGATTTTTTTACACACCTGAAACATGATAAGGCCATCGTTTTGAAGATACATGATAGCCATATGTCGCTTACCTAGTCATCATTGGTCGCTTAATGAAGTAATGCAAATATTCTACCACACTTGACCCATATCACCTTGTTAATAATTGAAGGTAATTCATTTGAACAAAAGTAAATCTCTTCATTGAGAGGTATATCTTGAAGATTTCAATACAATACAAGAGATTGCCGTAACTTAAGGTAATTTATTTCAACAACCTTACGCCATTTTGTTCCAATAGAATGTATACCATCATTACAAATTTGGGGTTTGTTTCTTCGTCTTCTACTTCGAAAACATCTTCTAGCCCCCATTGTATCATTTGGGATCTGTCTTTTCTTTTCTCTCTTTCCTACAATTTCCTTTCGGTGGTGTCTCCCTAGGCACCCGAATGTATGTGTCTTAAGCTCTTGCGAGGGTGTTAAACCCAAACAAACATACCTGGCGTCCCTTGTGATGTAAAAGTATTTGAACCATTGATTATACATAGACAAATTACACGATATCATAACAGTTGATTATAAATCAGTATGGTAATACATTTTGTACCTCTGACAGTAGCGAGTGCGTACGCGTCAAGTGTTCCTGCCTTCCGTATCTTGCTGCCACCTTCTGCAATGCCTGCAACTGTTTCAATAGCGTCGAAAATCTTTGACAGGTCATGCGTCTGAGGGTTTGAAACCAATGTAAATTGTACAGCAATCAGAATTACTTTGTCCTTGGGAGTTCCTGCAATTTAAGATTGATAGTGGCATTATAAAGGTACCACCACAATAGTATAACACTGTTATACCTTAAACGTTAAACATACTTGCCACGCAAACTTCAATACCTGTTTATAATAGAAATAGTGTATTACAAATTATAAAGGTTAAACAAATTAGTGTCTGTGACGAAATACTTAACTACGCTTTGTTTATTGCGTAATACATTTTGGATGGTATTAATTAGATTTTTTGTTTAAATCAAAATAGAATTGCCTTAATGTGTCTCTCATAGGGAAATACAATTGTTTTAGTATTTGTATGCAGAACAAATCCGTACAATATGGCATGTGTATTTTTAAAATTGCAAAATTGATAAAAAAAGAAGATATTTCTCTTATTTTTAAATTCAAAGTTTGTTTCTTGTAACAATAAACCAAACACGATTTGAACGCGATTTAAACCTCTGAAGAGCTGATCCTTAAATGAATTTGTATTAATGTATTTACTAAAATGTATTGAATGTGATACTTCGTTAATAAACTTACCCATCAGAAAATTTACGACCTTTTTAACTATTAAATCGGCATCGCCTATCATCTTGCTACTCGTCGACAAGATTTCAAGCCGGAACAAACTGCCGTCTTGGTTGAACACATATATACCAAGTCCTTCCCGGTTTCGCCTTCTGGCCTGGTTGACAGAGGAAAAGCAATAATATGATCTTTGGTAAACACATATCAACGGTTCCTTTATCATGAAATAATAAAAAAAGAAAAGTAGCAGGGATATGAAACGGCAACAGACAACAACAGTTTGTCGACTTACAACATCGAGGCTAGAAAACACTAAGCCGTTGGTTTTGTCTAGACGAGGAACAGTCTTTTCCAACTTAGTCCAAGAAAGCTTCCTCCTGCCGTGGATTTCTAGAGTGGCTCCACTGTCGACTCCAATAAACTTTGCACCGAAGTTCGGCATCGAATATTCCTTCCGGTTGCCTAAGTTGACACAAGATATTTTAGGAGCTGCATCAAACGGTGTTTATCAAATATACATTATGAGTTTTTTTCTATAATATCCCCCAGGGAAAGTAAAACATGAAAAACATATTTATACATTTTGAAATTTTTATCGCGGTCCAAACGGTTGAAACTATTTGACCAGAGTTGTTCGTTTATGAAATAAGGTCGAACCTCGAAATCTGATGCTGCTTTCAGACGAGCCTTGACAAAGCATTATAAGGCCTGCATAAACATTTGCAGGTCCACTAGTATTATTACCCGAAATGTTACATTTAACAAACTGGCTGCATCTCTAGTACTATCAACATTGAAAAATTCTCATGTTGGAATTAGTTCTGTATAATTGCTCCAAGATTATAGTAGTAAGTACTTAAGCATAAATGCGTATCAATCAACATATGCGCGTTTAAAAAAAATCAGATTAGCTTTACTTAAAAAAAATATCTCAACCTCATGCCAAAATTGATATCACGCAAAAAGATAATTTTGTTTTCAATGATATTATTTGCCTTTAATATCACAGTGTAGCCCAACAAACAGACGTGTTTCTAGAAAGAAAAAAAAAAAGAAAAAAAACCAGATCATTTTCATGACCATACTAAATAACCTCTATGTATATTATGTACCTCAAGTACATGAACACATTATTGCATGCCTCATTTAACATTCCCATTCTATTAAAAAAAGGAGCTTCAGATTTCGTTTTACCTTACCTGTTAAAATGATTCGGGCGTTTGCTTCAAATGGACATGTTTCGGATCCAATATGAAAGGCCCCTTTGATGTGGATGTATTGCGTGGTCAGATGATAATCCCCGTCAGGACCCCAGACGAGGACAGCGTCAGTTTCTACTGTCACTCCAACGAGTTCGGGAGGGGACACATCAAGTATCACGTTTCCGGTGATGCTGACATTGTCGCCAGCAACGGGAACCTTTTCGATTTTAAATAATGCATGATATTCATCAGGATATTTGAACGTTAGTAGAGGGAACCTTTCAGATAGAAGAGAAATCATGATTTTCACCAAGATATATAGACGTCGATTCATTTTGCGCAATTGACCCAATAAAGGGCACTTATATATCTTTATTGTCATCTTTTTGATAATAGACGCCTATTATAGTATTAATGCTCTTTAGTTTTATGTTTCCAGCAGATTATAATATTGTTTTATAATCAATTATCGATAAAACAAAAGATTGTCTACGATGACAAGGCAATATAAAACGTTTAACGTACTTAAATATTATCAAATAAATAATATTTTTCGGAGAGCAAATGAATCCTCCTAACAATGCCGGTTGTAATAGAAAGAAGCGACTGGCCATGGGTATCCGAAATTA